CCCCTTTTCCCAAACCTTCTTTTCCCCAGTTGCCACACCCCATCGCCCTATAACTGCCCGCAGATTCTTGAGCTTCAACGACATGAACTAGGCATTACCGAATCTTGAACAGACAGACGTGGGGAAAGAGACATTATGATTTGGTAAGTGTTTTACGGCGCTAGCAACTCATACGGTGATATTTTGAGCACGCGGGGCACATTAAACATTTTCAGTTTGGTAGGAATTGTCTTTGAATCTGCCCCCTGGCGGTCGAAGTCTTAGTAGTAGACGTTTTACGGCTCTCGCAACTGCATAAGGTCATATGAGCGCCAGAAGATTAGAGCTGTTACAAGAGAGTAACAAACATTAAAAAGAAAAAGGGGAGATAAGGACAATAGATGTTTGACAGGAAAGAAGAAGCAAACCATACCAGAGCACCCGCCAACCACCCACGGTCGAAGTCTACTACTATCGATTTTGGACCACCAAGGGATCTTTAACGCACGCCACTTTCAAGCGGGATCTCCGAGATTTTTGCCGTTGTCCGAGAAGGCTAGGTGTTAGATCTTACCTACCCTAAGACCAGGAGTGTGGCTGAAAGACAGCAGTAAAAAGGAACCAAGGAATAGCAGTAGAAGAAAGAACCCAGAGGAAGGAGAAAAGGGAAGGGGGGAAAAGTGGAGACGAAAGTAGACCACAGAACATGGTTAGAGAGCAGGAAAGAAGGTGAAAGGAGAAAATTTTAGATAAGAACATTTTCTGTCGCTGTCAGGTTTCGAACCCGGTACTTATTGAATGAAAAGTCGATTACCGTAACCTCTAGACAATGAGAGCCTCCACCGACTCTTGAACCGACAGATGTGTGGAAAGAGACACCATGTTAGGTGAGATACAAAGTTTTGTGCGCAAATTGACTTCTTTTCATGGGTGTATGTCAGAGGTATATGACACTTGCAGGATAATTAGGTCAACATATTATTATTAGTGCCGAAGATTAGAGGTGTTACAAGAGAGTGATAAGCACAAAAAAAGAAAGAAAAAGGATGATTGGATGTTTGATAGGGAAAGAGGGATCAAACAACAATAAAAACACCCGCCAACAACACACATGTACATCTTGCACAAATATGATCCTTTTCATCTTTCAGTCAGACGAAATACAAAAACCAATAGCAAAAATACTTCGTATTTCGCCTTAGAATTTTAAGCCTTTTTTAGTGCATTGTTAGCTCCGTAGGGCTATGGTGCGGATGACTCTCGTTCGAATCCCCCAATGAGGTGTCCTTCAACTTGGCTTATTTGAGGTTTTTCTTTTCTTAGTAGAGGTTTTTACGGCGCTCGCAACTGCATAAGGTCATATGAGCGCCGATTTGAAGGTTTGAGTTTTATGGCTCTCCGCCTGCTTGGCGTGTTGTTATCGAAAAGAGCATTTTAAAAAAGTGTCCAGACTCTTGAACAACCCAAGGGTGTTGAACGGGAGTTGAACCCATATCATCCGGCCTCTGTCGTGGAGTAGCGCTAAGGTGTTGCGCCATAACACACAGAAGAAATGAGTTCGATTCCCGTGTGGGGAGAATTTTAATTAGATGAGTAGGCCTTATCTCCGTGCTTCTGCTAGGACTAGGACATTGTATATGTATTCGTCTCAGACCAAATTTGCCCTGGCCAGACAAGGTAAAAGCAGCCCGCCACCTTAATGATCTAAAGTTGATTGTGTTCAGTGTCGACCGAGGCTTAAAACACCGTCATGTACAATTAAACGAACCTATAGCACAGCACACCTACCAATCCAAAAAGTCAAAGATTAATATTATAAAGGTTCTTTTATTTCAGTTCCGGACGACGGCAGAGAGACATGACCTCCATGATACTTCATCTGAGACTATCAACATGATACTTCGTCTGAGACTATCAACATGATACTTCGTCTGAGACCATCAACATGATACTTCATTTGAGACCATATGATTCTTCATCTGAGATCATCAACATGATACTTCGTCTGAGACTATCAACACGATATTTCATCTGAGACCATCATTCGTCCACACGGATTCACACATATCATCATCCAAGTCATCAAGACATACAATCAAACCTGCCCCAACGACCACCTGTTCAAGACAATCAATCACTTGTATAAACGAGTACATGTACTTCCACTCCCCAACCCCTGTTTTTTGCGTTTTTACTCTAATATTATAGTGATACTGTCCAAGACCCCCATCTGTCTAAGACAATCACAATATTTTTCCTTTACAATGGATGGTCGTCTTGGACAGTTTCGACTATATTTCGAACCGTTATTTTGAGTGCATGCGAACAATATAGAACTACAGGGATACCCGTTGGGTTGACCTGCCACAGAGCAACAGACACTTTCTTTTCGGTAATACCAGAAAGAAAACAATTTCTCGGCCATACATATAATTAATTACTTAAATTATGATAATGAACAGCATTTATGTCGCAAGAATTCTTGCTCAACATCAAACTGTATGCGCTTTATAATCTATACTACTGTATAACATTATTACCCTGAAGATCTGATAGCCTTATGAAACAATCTCAATTTCCTGAGTGCGCATACAGTGCAAACTGCATGATACTTCACGTTTAATCTATATCATTTCAAAGTCCACAAAAGACACCACCATTCTGAAGTGACACCAAAAAAAAAATAATAATAGCAACGTGATGAAACCAGGTTCTCGTCAAAGTAATGAAATATATATATATATATTCAAGATCAGAAGGGTATTTTTCATTCAAACTTACTTTTTTTCATTTTTCCTTCCTCTGGTATCCTTAGGATGTCAAAAAACAAGGCAAAAGAACAGGATTTAAGGTTATACCGATAACTCCATGTGCCTAAAAATTGACGAGCGCCTGATTCCATGGCGTCGTAGTAGTAGTACAGGGTTTTACGGCGCTCGCAACTGCATAAGTTCATATGAGCGCGCGAAACACAAGTTGGTAGCATTTGCAACAGTTCACTGCACGGTTGGTCGACAATTAGACTAAAATGCTAAAATTTAGTGTAAATATATTTGCGACTTAAAATAACTCTTATAAATAACAATAACATTTTTTAAACAGTATTGTTTCACTTTACAATTTGCCATAAAGGCCAATGGCCATCATAAAATTCAATATTCTGCTGGGAACAACGACGGAAAAAAATGTCTTGCAATTTTTTGCATTTATTAATATTTCCTTCGGATCTCTCCAAAGTCTAGACATTCGGTTAAGATGCGTCTAATGGTAAAATCTGTATCTACAGACCGGCTTCTCATCTCCCTGTAGGAGGTATTTGTGGGTCAGGGCCGTGTGTCCGATGCGCAATCGAGCACCTCCATATTCACAACCTGCGGGGATGGAGAAGTCCGTAACTATTATAATATAATTATAAACTACTGATCTTGTCTGTGAGTGTCAAACCAACCTGAGTACAGTAACAGACCAGTAGGAAGACGAAGGGAATCAAAGCTAACACTATGTCTATGTATTATATAAACAGCTGAACCTGCTATTACTATTATGACCGCGACCTGTCCAAGACAATCAAACCAGCATCTGTGGTGTAGCAGTCAGGCATTTCGCCTTCGTACGCAAGGGACCAGTGCTCGATTCCATAGAGGGGAGAAATTTTATAGCGCATCTCTATCTTTCTGCTCGGACATTGTTGTACATGTATTATCCCTCTCAGCTCGTGTTGGCACGGTCAAAGCCCGCCTCCTAAATGATCCAAACAGTGTCGATGAAAGGGGAGGGGAAGGGGGGGGGGTAATAACACCTACATTTATATTTATCTTTTAAGGCAATTACTTGCACAAATGGCAACCCACTCCCCCACTGGTTTTTTGTTCTTTTGTTTTGTTTTTCTCTCTCTCTATATATATACTTTTACAATGTCACACTGTTCAAGGGGACCGCCTGTCTCAGTTGACTACTCTTTCATAAGTTGGACAGTTTTATATTATAGTCCGACTCAGATAATACTAACAATACTAACATTCAAAACTTGAAATCACCAATAATAGCTCTTAAAACATGCCATTTTATCCATTTCCCAAACTGAATCTCTATTATAGTCTATTATTATATATTTGTAAATGATGTATTGGCAACCTGTTTTCTCAAACACCCGAAAGGATTTGGGTGTACATGTGTTGGCATGTGTGTGTGTGTGTGTGTGTGTGTGTGTGTGTGTGTGTGTGTATGTGTTTGAGAGAGAGAGAGTGAGTGTGTATTTGTTTGTTTGTTTCGATCGCGAAAGTGATGTTCAGGATGTGATTACATAGATTATGCAACAGGGGTGGGTGGCGTGCTCTGACCAGTTACTTTTGCCTCTCATTACCCTTTGTCGATTTGTTTTCTATGTTTGCAATCTCTGACACTTGGCGTATAATAATATTTATATATAACATGCTAAAAAATTTTCAAGAATCAATACATTATTGTTTATTTCATAAACACATATCATGGCCAGGGTTCATTCCAATACATTTATGACCTATATGTCATGTATCATGAATTCAAACAAAACGTATTGATGATACAGAATGAAAATCATTTCAATCAGTTTCAACATCAACAAGAAATACATATTTATTGATCCTCCACTGGAAAAAAATACAGTGTGCTGTTACCAGCTTCTGCAATGTGTACAAAGAAGTATTGTACACCCTAGCATACTATCAAGACATCACATTTTTTTCTGTCTATCTCTATATATGTTTTTCCCCAATTATCACTCATTCATCCACTGTGTTCCATCCCATTAACATATAACAAGGTTATTATCAAAACATAATACATAGCATATACACATATCAAAGTAAATGGAGTCCTGGTGGATAACCATCTGCGATGTAGCGGATAGGTACTTCGCAGTTGCTTGCAGGAGACCTGAGTTAAATTCCCCAGTAAGGAGAAATTTTATCCAATATCTTGGTCTTTTTCCTGGGATGCTGTAGCCCTCTCAGCTCCGGTTGCCCCTGTCAGACAGTGTTGGAAGCCCACCGCCTAAATGATTTATACTGTGTTGATGGGGGAGCACAAGCATTTCAAATTGTTTGTTGTATTTCAAGAGTCTGAGTGGGTAATGTTGATTTCATGTGTAGTAGAAGTAGTTCCTTGAGAGACGTGAATTGAACAGCTAAAACTAAAAATCATCTTCAATAGAGCATACACACTTCACCTGTTCCATGTCTACGGACATGAAACATGAAATGACTAAAATGAAAACAGAATATTTAGTTTCCCTCTCAGAACAAGAATATAACACTATCATCTTCCAGAAATCATTTTTTATATATATCTTTTTTTTTCTGATCAGTTTTTTTTAAAACTCAGCTTTTCCTCACATACATGTATTTAATTAGCATTTAATGTTGATTCTTTCGTATGCATCGCCACAACACATGTAACAAGGAACCAAAAGTGTGCAGTTCTTGCCTTTGTGCCATAATGACATAAAAAAAAACCCTGTCTAATGGCTTACTTCAAGAAAACTTGCATTCCACAATTAAAAAAAAAGAATTAATTGTAATTATGAGATACAGGCATACAATAATTATCTCTTCTGCCTTTTCCTTGCCCAAATCCAACAACTCATCACAAATACAGCACAAAACCTGTACATCTTCCATTTGGTTGAGGCACAACAGATATTCAGGTCTTACTCTTAGGCTCTCTTTTGTTTGTTTTAGTAAGAGTTATACGGAACTCGCAACTGCATAAGTTAGACTCTCTTTAAAAGAATAATGCTTTAATGTTTACAGCAGGTTTCTTGAAATGGGCCATTGAAATATTTGAAATGATGACAGAATGAAACTACAAGTCTTTCACAATCTTCTCAACAAAATGCCTCGTGCTTAGAAAAAAAGCACAAAGAGCATCATGATACAATGTACATAACGAATTATCATTAGTTTATAAATTCACTTTCTTTTGATTTTTTCGTCCTTTATACATTACTACGCCTTACAGTTGAGTCTTATGCACTAATGAATGTTTTATTGAGAGATTTTTGTAACTACAGTATTACGATGCACTATGATTCCTTTCATAAGACATTGAAAAAAAAACAACAACAATACAATAGGCTCACATAAATGACTGCTTTCTATATATATTCTGAACATTTTTTTAGGGTGATTCTGAATAAACATGGCTGTTAAAACTTGACGCATTTGTTGTCTATTTGGATGGCAGGACCTAAAAAATAACACCCATTGTCAACCAGTCTCAACAAATTAACAAATTTTAATTCAACAAATTAAAAATTTTTTAAAAACAAATGACACACAATGAAGATTGTGTAGCAACATAACAAAATGAGTCACATGTGTCGCATTTTGACAATAAAATGACACTAAAGACATCAAATTAGAGATTTTGTCATGCCCTACAAGTGGAAGAAAACAATATCAATCTAGCTGCTTTGGTACCAAAGTTAGTTATTGTATATTCACTTGAGGTGGGGGGGAGGAGTCATACATACCAAAGTCTTGAGAAAGTCGAGGTTTTGAACGATATCTTAAAAAAGCCTAGTGTGACATCAGATATGAGGAGTCCACAGGAAAAACAGGAATAGTTACGAACAGAAAATCGTGAGGGTATCAATTTTGAACGCTTGCAGACTCATAACTGTATTTCTGTTCAACTGTTGGCTTATTACATGCACTATTGTTGGACTTTCCATTCAATAATCTTAACAATACACCACAAATAAAACAAATATGAAGTTAAGAGTCAACAAGCTTTTAAAATTGACACCCTCACAATTTCCAGTTTGTGACTATGCCCGTTTTTCCCCGCGGACTCCTTGTAAATATGGATTCGACCCAAGTAGTTACTGATGAGAACAAGATATATGTCACGACGTGGTTGAATCAGGCACTCGTCAATTTTTGGCCATATGGGGTTATTGGTATTATCTTAAAGCCTGTTCATTTCCCTTCCTTTTGGTGAAAAAATATCCATCTATGTTGAATAAAAGTCAAAATACTTGCAATTGAAGTAGGTCAGGGCCGCCTGGTTTCAAAGGTAAAATTAGTGAGTAAATGGCCACCAAAGTTTGGTATTTTCCATAGCCTGAGAGTCCATGGAAACTAAAAATGTACATTTTTTGTGTCTTCAATCAATGTTTTTCAGTATAATCCACACAAAAATGTGTTTTTCAATGGACATAAAAGGTGTCGAGCCAACAAAAAGAAAATTAGACAAAAATTCCCCATGCGCCCAAAAAATGATGATTTTTATATTTCATTATTTTGACGATGCCTCACATATTTTTAGTCCAGTTATAGTAAAGTTTTCGTTTTAGTAAGAGATTTACGGTGCTCACACCTGCATAAGGATTACAGTAACAAATCAATAAATAACAGTATGCCAATAAAACAGAGCCTTAAAAATTCTCTGAAAAATATTCTTTTGCAAGGACTGCTTTTCATAAATGAACAGCTCTTTCATCAAAATAAGACACTTGTAGAAAAACAGACGCATGTATGGACCAGGATTACACCGTAATTCCTAAAAATGGAATCTGACACATTTTAAGCTCCATATTATAGTCTCTATGACTAACAAGAACAACAAAGATATTGTTGCAAAAAAATAGTGTATTTAATTTTAAATTCAAAGTAAATAATGCCAAAGAAATATTTTTCACACA